GCAAAGAAGATGAAAACGTTGTACCAGAAGCAGAGGCCGCTACTACCACAACCGTAACCACACCTACTACACCCACGCCTGCTGCCACTCCACAACCAACAACTAATTGCACCAATGTTAGCAACGCTAATGGCTCAGCAACCAACGTTGCCAACAGCAACTTAGCAAGTTCTGTAAATGGCAAGAAGGAAGGGGGGAGGCAACAGTAAATCAAAGTCCAAATCAAAATCAGGTGCAGCAGGCAGTACAGCCGCCACAACTCCATCGTCAGCACCCCCGTCGACCCCTTCGCCGCGCTGTCAAACACCGGTAACCAACAACCCCAGTCCTGCAGGAAGCGCTTTTACTACGCCGCCAGTCAACAACGCTAACAATACTCACATGAACACCGCTGTGAACAATGCGGCCGGAGGTAATCCACCCAATCAACTCATGTCGTCCAATTCCAGTCTAATGAATATGGCGACTATGATTGATACCTTCACAGATGCGCAGTTGCAATCCAATCAGATCTCAAGCACGGTACTCGATTCGCCTTATTCGTACGACTACCAGACTGGTTCCTACATAGATTCACGAAACTACTACGGAAACTGGCCCCCGCCGCATGCAACTCATGCCACTCACGCCGTCAGTATGGGTACGCCATCAGGCCCGGCGACTACACCAATGGCGCCACCGCAAGACAACGTGCACCATACTACCACCGCTCCACTTACACCTCACCACGATACGAGCGCTACTTACGCCAACAACTACAATAATCTGCCTACCGCTGGCAGTCAACAATTGACGCAAGTCCATGATGTGCGCGGGGAAGTAAAAAGCCGCGGCAGTGAGGAGAACCCCGACTCCACAACTATAGTAAATAATACTTTAGCTGAAAGTAAGTTGACCACTCTCACTCCATTGACACCAATGACTAATCTAACTCAACACCACCATCATCCTCACCATCATGCTACGCCCATCGAAGAAGGCTTCGTCAAACCGAAACCACCGGCAGACTATCAGTACACTCAGTACCCGAGCAACTACCAAATGTATCCGACACCACATTCGGCCTACTCGGCGTACGATGCCTATCAGAACATGAACTACAACTATGGGTATCATCAAGCGTACTCACCTTACAGCATGTATCCACAGCAAACACCGCCACCCACGCCACCTACACCATCACCAAATTGGAACATGTACGGCCATCATCAAAGCACCGCATCTTCGGCTGCTTATGCCCCGACAGTACTGCCGCCAAACAGTGGTGCCCATCAACATTCATCGCTCGCCACCGCCGCACCACAAATGCAAACACAAATGCCGTTGCCCAACGGTAATCTGAAGCCCGCACTTCCCATGCTGGTTGTACCACCCACACCAACAACCGACAGCCTACAGATGCAAGCGCAAGCACAGACTCAACTGCAGGCACAAACGCAGATACCAGTGGTACCACACCAGACTGTCCTCCCGGATCTCAGCATTACCAACACTCCCAACAATCAATCCACGCCCACTAACACAGAGCTCACAAACTCAAACCCAACGACTGCTGTCAACGTAACTTCGCCAAATTCAGCAACCCCAATATCGGCCATTAACAACGATAGCAGCAACAACAGCACCAGCAATAGCAACGACAACAGCAGTCCGACGGCAACGACCGCTTCCACTGCCGAAAACGGAACAACCGCGGGAGTAACAACGAACACAAGCACATCAACAACAGGAACTACGCCGACCGCTGTAGCGACCACTTCCAACCCAAACAAGCTGGAACCGATTGGGGAGGTAACAGAAATCAACGACAACTATGAAGCGTTCGCTGATCCCCAAATGGGCGGTGTGGCCATAGCGCTCAATCATGGTAGCGTATTGATCGAGTGCGCAAAGCACGAACTTCATGCGACCACTGCGCTGCGAAATCCCAACCGGCATGAGCCAACGCGAATGACCCTTATATTCTATCAGCATCGCAATCTAAATCGCGCACGGCATGGTATCGACGAGTGGGAGGAGAAGATGCGTGTGAAGAAGATCAACACTGACCTCGATAACAAAGCCAAAGAAGAACGCGAAAAGTTGAAGAAGGAGCGTGAAGGTGGTGAAGAGGATGACGAGGAAGCAGAAAATGCGCTCTCCAATGGCGCTGCGCAAGGTTCAAGCAACAGCGGTAAGAAGGATGGCGCCAACGCAAACAATGCTAATAGTAACGGCTCTACAGCACCTCCTGAGACGACAGCGACCACATCGGTGACAACAGCAACTACGAAGAGCGGCGGCACAGGTGGTGGTTCGGCTAGCAAAAAGAAAAAGGAATCGGGTAAGAAGAATGCAAACTCAAATGCAAATGTGAACGAAATTGCTAATGAGAATTCTGCTTCTTCCGTTGAGCAGGCAAAAAGCGAGAAACGAGTTGCACTCCACGCGCCAACACTAACAACAACCTCTTGGACGACCCTCTTCCCTATGCATCCGTGTGTGGTTACGGGACCCTACCAGGAGGGCAACACTAGTCCGTCAGCAGCTGCAGAAGTAGAGCAGCAGGTAGCACAACAACAACAACAGCAAATGCAGCAGCAGCAACAGCCGCTTAAGCAGCAAATGCCAGCTTAAGGGCATAGCTGGTGCAGTTCTGGTGATGGAAAGTGCAAGGTCGGGCATGTTTCTCAGCAGAAGAGAGCCACGCGTTAGGTCAGTTGGAAATGCTTTATTGTGTATGTATGTATGTACACATTTATGTATGTATATGGTTAGGTACTATGCTAAACAAGCTGACGCTTCTTTTATGCCATTCAGGCATGCCCAGTACTCAACTATATCTTAAACTGGCGTTGTACATATTTTTTACTCGTAGAGTGCCATATTTTTTAACTTACTGAAAAGACGGATGTAAACATTTCAGCCGAGATTTTCATATAACACCAGGATCAAAGCGCTGGTGCGCTAAAGCCATTTTGAGATTGATAATTTCACACAAATACATTCATATATGCACATATATTATGCATTTTTTATTTGATGGTATAAAATACCAATGCAAAAGCGATCAGGATGAAATATTTACTACACAAATAGGTATGTCATTTGTAATTTTCGAAAGTAGTAATTTTAGAAAACGAAGACATTGCATATACATACATACATAAATGCAATTAATATTCACTCATCACCACACATAACAAATTGATTTTTATTTTTTTGAACGTATTTTAACTAAACTATTTTTTATACTTTACTCATAAAGACATTCAATTTTTATTGTCACGTTTTATTGAAGTGTTACCATTATTCAATTAAAATGTATGCCATATACATATACGTACATATTTTGATAAAAGTGGGCAATTAATATTTTAGTCTTCTCAACTTAAATACATATATTTTTCAATACAGAAATGAAAGTTTCAGATCATATTTGTTATTCTAAATGCTATGCGTTGGTTACCTTTGCTTATACATATCGTCGTTTAAAGTACAAAACCGCATATCAACAAAATGCAAAACCGCGTATCAAGATAATGCAAAACCTCGTTTATGCAACCTGCATTGTTTGTTTTCTAGATTTATTTCAAAATTGTTATCTTTCTTATAAAGCAATCGCATTTCTGGCTAGTATATTTCATGACGAATGGATAAGGATTGAGCAAAGAGCTTGTGTGAGCAAATCCAATTATTGGCAAAAAATGTCAGTTACGCGGTTTTGAAGAACGACGAAACGCGGTTTTGCACTTTAAATGCCGATATCGTTACCTTAATTCACAAAGGCCCTAATCAACAAATGTTTAATTTTACAGCAAAGCAAAAAACTTTATAAAAAGAACATCAAAAGCAGGTCGGGCGTTTTAAAAAGTGGCATGTAACTCCGTGTTTTTGGAACAGTTTCGAAAAAAATGTTCTAGGGTCTTTGTGAATTAAGGTAACGATATACAGAACAACTATTACAAATATCAAATACTTTCAAAATACTAAAACACTAAACTATTTAGACAGCCACCATGCTAGGTATGCAGATACGTACTATTCACATTATTATTTCGGTAATATATTCTCAACTAACAAACTGCAAATAAAACTAAAAAAAAAAGAAAAATAAAAGGAGAAAACGTAATACATTTAGTTGCAAAAGAAATATTTTTTTTTATGAAGCAAGAAAACACTATGAATACATACGTATATTACTATGATAAAATTTAAGTCAACAAACCAACAACAAATCTAAATAAGTAAATATCAAGAAAGAATTACTGTTAGAAAAAGAACATTGCCAAAAGTACAAAGAAAATAAAACCGTTTTTAATACATATGAATACTAAGTAAAACATAATTTCACTACTCGAGCGCATTCACTCATACATACGCAAATAACTAGTTGATAAAGGGAATAAATTTTATTAAGAAAACACATAAAAGTGCACATACATTCAAAAAAACAGCCAGAGTAAATTTCAGTAGTAATTGCATACATATGTATGTATATAAATAATAAAAGAAAAGTTAAATAGCAATTTGTCAGTTGAAAACATAAACGAGATACACAAATAACCAGTAAAATACATAGTATATATCGCCACCATCAATGCAAACCTTTCTGACAAATTTGAAATTTCATGGGAGAAGCCAAGGCGAATCTATATGTACTCGCCTTGGGAAAAGCCAAACATGTTTTTAATTTACGGAAATGCTTAAAACAAACAAATTTCCGAAAACATATCAAGTGGGTCCTTTTGCATGGATGATGATGATGATATACACATGTAACAAATGCGAAAAACTTGAGCATGCAATATTTGAATGCGTAATCGCACGCACAGCTATAGGCAGCAAGTTCACATCGTCACCTGAAATGCAAATTAGCCAAAATTTTCTTTTTGCCCGACTTCAAAAAAAGAGGAGGTTGTCAGTTCGCCGGAATATATATATTTTTTTTATGTACCGCATAACTTTGGACCACGGCAACCGATTTCGATAATTCTTTTTTTCATCGGAAAGGTGGTACCTCAAGAGTGGTCCCGTACTCATTTTGTTTAGATCCGATAATTGGATCGTGAAGAAATTAACGATAATCTTAAATTTTTATATGAGAATAGAAGTCAGTTTTGTTTTTTGCTTAAAAGTTACGTGTTGATTAATTATGATGCATTTATTACAAGGTCCCATAACGTCAGTTTCGGCTTTTTTGCATCTCAGGTCACGATATTACCTCTTTTGAAGATTGCATACAATTACATATGCACACTGTATAAACAACTCTTCCAGAAGAGTTTACCGTTTACTCCAATACAATAAAAAAAAATTGCTCTCATAAACCAACGTGAGAACAGTACAGTACAGAAATACAAAACGTACCGTGATACAACCATTTTTAGAGGTAGTTTCACTCAGTTACCGAGAACGCGTTCTAGTTTTAGTTTAGTTCTGCACGAGAACCAAATGTAATGTCAGGAGCCAAATGAGAACAAAAGTATTGAGAACAGTTTGAACGGGAACAAAATGATAATAAAAGGTTTGATAACGTTTCCGTAAAGAACAAAATGCGAGCAAAACTCTCGGGAACGTTATCAAGAAGAACAAAATGAGAACAGGAACGTTTCCAATGAGAACAATATAATAACGAAAGTATCAATAACGTTTTTAAGGAAAATTAAATAAGAACAAAAGTCTGGGTAGCAATTTTTTATTTTCTGTGGCAACAAAATTCGAATATTAAGTCTTTCGTTGACTTTATTTGCATAATTATGTTACAATTCTTTTTTGATTAACTTTAGTATTCAAACATTTCAAGTTATTAGAAATCTATGAGCAAAAATGTATTTTTGCTTCTTTTCTTCGCGAATAATTCAGGGGAGACTTGTTCCCACTTCATTCTCTATCAGAAAGTTTTTGAGACTTTAGTTCCCCAATTGTTCTTCGAGAGAAAGTTCCTTAGACTTTTGTCCCCATCTTTGAAAAGTTTGATATTTTTAATGGTAAAAGTACTCAGAACGCTTTGTTATACAAGCCACGGTTCCTTTGAATGAATTTTAATGAGTACAGATATAACATCGACGGGTTTTTGAGAAAGATAACTTCTTAAAGATAGTTAAGCAATAAACATAAATTATTTCATAAGCTGTTTTGAACTAATTTGACCTCGAAAATTTTTCTCTGATAAAATATAATGATTTTATATTCGTGATCAGAGTCCTCAAATTAGTCCAAAACTCGATTTTTAAAGAAGAAATATTTATTACTTATATATATTTACTAGTGAATGAACTAAATTTAAGAGATTTCATTTCTCAAAAACCCTAGATAGAAGATTTGTATATGTTATATAATGTACAAGTAATAGGTTTTTTCTAGGTTTTCTTTAAAAAAAACGTTTGGCGTAGTAACGGTCGGGCTTTCTGAATCGACTCTGGTTGCGATTGCATTCCTGTTACGAATATATGTAGTTCTTTCAGCGGAGCACCTTTCAAATCTTTGGAATTAACTCAATTAATTAACAAGTATTTACTTACATTTTACATGAAATTCGCCCAAGTTTATAAATTTTTAAATCTCACGAGAATCTTTGTTCAAAAGGACGCTAACCACAAAGCGGTCATGCCTATGGCAAAGCAATCTGGGTTGTAAATCCATTCATTCCGATATACCGCCTTCGAAGTTTTGAAGGCGTATTCGATTACTCAATGTGCATTTGCACAGCTGGGTTATTGCATAATCATGTATGTTTTACGTGATTGCAACTTCTCTCCAAGAGAACTGTCACTTTGTGCTGATGGGCAATTTTTTGGTATAGTTGTTATCGATAACTCTTGACAACTATTGACACATATTTGGTATTGGCTAAGCAAAGTTGCTGTCGACGTTGAGCTCACATGACGCCATTTCTGTAGACACCGTGTTTACTGACGACTGTAAGAAAATTTGTAGGTTCAATTGTTTTTTTAAGAAAAAAAAGCCGTTAGTACCAGGTAATCGTCAAATTAGAAATAAAACCATTTTTTTCATTTCATTTTGGCCCCTATTGCGAGTGTCGACTGGCAGTAGAATAGAAATTTGTCGA